ACATATGAGTCCACATGAGACCACATATTCATCCACATAAGACCACATATGAGTTTACATGAAATCACATATGAGTCCACATGAGACCACATATGAGTCCACATGAGACTATATATGAGTTCACATGAGACCACATATGAGTCCACATATGAGTCCACATGAGACGCCATATGAGTCTACATAAGACCACATATGAGTGCACATATGAGTGCACATAAGACCACATATTCCTCCACATATGAGTGCACATGAGACGCCATATGAGTCTACATATGAGTGCACATATGAGTCCACATATGAGTCCACATATCAGTCCACATATGAGTCCACATATGAGTGCACATAAGACCACATATGAGTCCACATATTCGTCCACATGAGACCACATATGAGTCCACATGAGACCACATATTCGTCCACATGAGACCACATATTCATCCACATGAAACCACATATTCCTCCACATGAGACCACATATCCATCCACATAAGACCACATATCCCACATAAATGATGAAGTAACTCCGATAATTACTCCAGCGCAAAAAAAGCACGGCTCGATAAAAAGAGGAAAAGATTGCATTTTATGAACGTTTCCTCGACCTTCGACACTCGAGCGGTCTCTCGGCCATAAATCTCGATGCCGATGCGGAGATGGAAACTGGATACACGCACAACGGAAACGCATGAGTCAGTGATGCCTCCGGAGAAAACGACATCGTTGTACGAGTTTATCGTGGAAGCGAGGTCTCTACGTGTCGGGTGCGTTGACCCAGCTTACGGTAACCCAGGCCATCCGTGTTGCACCTGCCTCGCGTCGACTTACCGGGATAAAGGGTCGTGCGACCCGAATTGCTTCTTCCCTTTAACATTACGGGCTAAAAACAGTGGAACGGTTGCTACATTCTTTGGAGGTCTTTATGCAGCGAATGTTGAACTTCGAGGTCTTTCAGCGATGTGTTTTCATGAGTTTACTCTGAGTATAGTGTGTACACACTAATGTACGTACTGTATTTTTAGTATTAATCAGATATCATTAATCAGACATCATAGACATCTTATTAGGACAGCATCGAAATTAGTTACTAGGCTTATTATGTTGAGTGACTTGACTGTTCTATGTAATTAAAGGTTAGGGTAGCTTTGGACTAGGTGTCTTGCCTTGAGAGTAAAAATGAGTACTTTTGAACTTCATGTTCTGTACATGGATTAAACTTGAACATGTCGATGTGACAGTTGTTAAAAAATATTAGTGAGTCAATTTAACAATTTGTAAAATATCAAACATCAAGGAGGATCATTCTGTTCTGAGTTAAAATTGAGCTAACCTCATCAAAGTTACTTTAACCTAACTTTGACGTAAGTTACTTGAATCTGACCAACTGTGAACAATGTTAACCTAACCTCCTCTGATAAAAATTACCCTAATGACCAACTTTGATCAATTTTACCTTAATCTGACCAACTTTGATCAATTTTACCCTAACCTGACTAACTATGACCAAAAACGTTTCCATCAGATAAACTGTGACTAACATAACAATAACCTAACTAACTTTAACAAAATTTATCCTAATCTGACCAACTCTGATCAATTATACCTTAATGACCCAACTGTCAAATCATTCTAATCAGAACTTTGATCAACATCATGTAACCAACTTAAATAACAACACTGATCTCAACAATGATGTCATCTGAACGTTCAGCGTAATATATGATAACGATATGCATCCGTATACTCTTTCACTTGGCTATCAAGTATAATTCTGAAATAATGTGGTACTTGCGTTCGTATCAGCAATCGTTTACATTGTAAGGGTGAAAACACCAGAAGCATAGTAACGTGCCATTTAATGGTCCCCAGATTGGTCGCATCCTAGCCCCCAGCTACGTTCAATTACACAAAGCGATCGTTACGGTACCGCCCACGTTTTAACTACCTCAACTACTCATGTTGATCGTATTAATCTGCAATTTGCATAGCTAGCTCCATTCAACCGTTCCCTGTTTCTTCCTCTTTCAGAACGTTGAACTTGCTTCTAATCGGATGGTTGACCGAAGTGAAAAAGGGGGAATTTCCTTGATCTACGGAAGGATTCTCTTTTGATGGGAGATGAGTTGAAATGTGTGGTAACATTGTGGTAAAATTATGAACTTTGGGATGTGTGATTTGTATGTGGTGTAGTATTATTTGGAGCGACGGAGGATGTGGTGAAGTGGAGATTTGTAGATTTTTATAATATTCTGAATTCTTATATGTATTCCAATTTGTGTATTTTGAAATACTTCTTTCTCCAAATTTCTGGGAACTCAAGTTTCTACATTAGCTAATTTTTAGGACTCCAAATCCTTGCATTTACAAATTCCTACTTCCCCGAATCTCCACGTGTCCAAATCCTCACATACTCAAATCTCCACATGTCCAAATCCTCACATACTCAAATCTCTACATGTCCAAATCCTCACATACTCACATCTCCACATGTCCAAATCTCTACATTCCCAAATCTTCACATGTCCAAATCCTCACATACTCAAATCTCCACGTGTCCAAATCTCTACATCCCAAAATCCTCACATACTCAAATGTCTACATGTCCAAATCCTCACATACTCAAATCTCCACATGTCCAAATCCTCACACACCCAAATCTCCACATGTCCAAATCCCTACATCCCCAAATCCTCACATACTCAAATCTCCACGTGTCCAAATCCTCACACACTCAAATCTCCACATGTCCAAATCTCTACATACCTGAATCCCTACATCCCCAAATCTCCAAACTCCAAAATCTCCACACCCCAGAATCTCTCCCTCTTCAAATCCCCATACCCCTAAATCTCCACACCCCCAAATCCCCACATCCCCAAATCCCTACACCTTCCATCTCCCACCTCCCCAAATCCCCTCATCCCTCTCCACCCCATCTCTCTCCAACACCCCCCATAGTACACACCTAACAAAATTTCCACAACTCGTGACGGTGAACCGTACGAAGAATCGATCCACGCAAAAAGACAATCTTTACGGCGTATCAGAAATAGAAGCACCAGCAGCAGGTTCTCGTTTCGCGTTTATCCGTACGCGAGGACCGAGCAACACGCGAGGTCTCCTCTTGACCTCACTTTCTAGAATCCTTTAAGTATATGGCGCCTTCAACTATACGGCTCGTTTATCCATTATCGATGAACCAACGGCGCTTCACTGACACACCACGTGTCACTACTAACCGAGATATACCGTCGCTGACAGATATACGTGTCCTTTGTACAGATTGGTCGTGACAGATGCTCTCAACTGTCAAATGTACTTGTCAAGCTTAGTCTTTTAAGATGATGTGCCTTTTTATGGAACTGTAATTGTTTGCTGTTTGAACGAAAAGTAATATTCAACTATTCTATGAATCTACCCTAACATGACATAATTATACTGTTTTAAGTTGTGTACATTTGGTGGGTCTCGTTATGGACCTACAATTATTGTTTGCAATATGAACAAAAAGTAGTCTTCAACTATTATATGAATTCAACCTAACCTAACCTAACCTTACTTTTTCAAGTTGTATGTGCATTTGATGTGTCTCACTATGAACCTTGAATTGTATGGAATATGAACGAAACAAGTAACTTGCAACTGTTCTAGCAACTTAACCTAACCTAACCTAACCTTACTCTTTCAAGTTGTATGTTCATTTAATGTGTCTCATTATGAACCTTGAATTGTTTGCAATATAAACGAAACAAGTAACCTGCAACTGTTCTAGCAACTTAACCTAACCTAACCTAACCTTGCTCTTTCAAGTTGTATGTTCATTTAATGTGTTTCATTATGAACCCTGAATTATTTGCAATATGAACGAAACAAGTAACTTGCAACTGTTCTAGCAACTTAACCTAACCTAACCTAACCTTACTCTTTCAAGTTGTATGTCTATTTGATGTGTCTCATTATGAACCTTGAATTGTTTGCAATATGAACGAAACAAGTAACTTGCAACTGTTCTATCAACTCAACCTGTCAACCTAACCTTACTCTTTCAATCTGAATATTCATTCAATGTGTCTCATTATGAACCTCCAATTATGTGCAATGTGAACGAAACAAACAATCTTCACTTACTCTATCAACCTAACCTTACTCTTTCAAGTTGTATGTCCATCTTAAGTCTCATGTCTAAGTCTCATGATTATAAGTCTAACTTTGCAATCTGAACGAAATGAGGTTGTCTAAACTTGAAGGTATATTTGAACAAAAACGGACTACCATTTTGTATATTTGTTCAAGAGTTGCAGGGTCAGTAAGTGTATTATTTTGGATAGGGAAGGTTTAGGCTACTTATGGAGTCTGTTAGACTTGAATCTCGATAAGATATATACACACATATTTTTCTGAAGTGTCCCACATAATATTGTAGCTAATAAGCTATACTTCCTGAGAGACATAGTCCTTATTGGATTTAGGCTACTCGTGGAGTCTGTTAGACTTGAACCTCGATAACATATATACACACATATTTTTCTTAAGTGTCCCACATAATAACGTAACTAATAAGCTATACTTCCTGAGAGACATAGTACTTATTAGGTTTAGCCTACTTGTGGAGTCTGTTAGACTTGAATCTCGATAACATATATACACACATATTTTTCTGAAGTGTCCCACATAATAATGTAGCTAATAAGCTATACTTCCTGAGAGACATACTACTTATTGCGTTTAGGCTACCTGTGGAGTCTGTCAGACTCGAACCTCGATAACACATACACACACATATTTTTCTGAAGTGTCCTACATTATTAGCTATACTTCCTGAGTGACATAGCACTTATTGATTAGAATTGTTAGTAACTTGCATTGTAATCACTACCACAATCAATATCTGCTAACTGTACTTGCTCTCGAATTTGAAGTCTATCACTGTATATTTCAAAGAAGTAAATCTGAACTTTTCTAATCAAAGTGAAGTCTTAATCCTCCTCTCCTAATCGTTTCAGATCTGGCGCAGATCCGAGCACTCGTGGAGTCGACGGGGATGCTGGGAGGCTCAACCTGTCCATCCTGCGAGATGCCGTTCGATAAGGGGAAGAAACGTCGAGTAATCGACTCGTGCGGCCACGAGCGTTGCTATTCCTGTCTGTTCCGCAGCGAAGCATGCCCGTTTTGCTTGCACGCCGACTTCAACGACGACGACGGCCTGGAGGGACCCTTCAGGGAGGGGTTCACCGACTCTTCAGGGCCCGTGTCCATCCTCGCGCCCACGGACGGCTGGATCGATGAGTCATCAACGGTGAACTCTCTCTGCGGCAGCCCCAGACCTCGTACGAAAGTCACCACGAGAGCCAATCTTCCGTCACGAGTCATGCACGTAAGCATCATCATCGACACTTTCCAAACTGGAAATGCCGCGTATTGTTCGCTGAAAATCGTTTGATAACAACTTCATACGACTCGTGCCTAATTGTCGATGCTTGTTTATCTTTTTATTGCGCTGTAACTTTCACCTGGACGAATTTTTAAGGCCTCGATGTTTACAAGCACTCGTAAACGCGTAATCTGCAGTTCATGAATTATCTTTTTTATTTTTACTATCGCAAATAAATGTTTCAGCAGTTGAATGACTCTTTCACTTTTAAGAAAATTTTTTTGGTATCATTGGTAACTAATATGACAAATAAAAAAATGTTGTACTCATACTAGATGTATAATTGGAACATTAAAAATGAAGTATTATTTTATCATGTCATTTAGAGTAATTTAAAAATCATTTAAAAAATTTTTCTGTACTTTAATGATGACTAGCTTCCACTTAAATAATGATTTTCTGCTTGACTTTGTTAATGAAAATTAAAAAAAAATATTTTGTACTTTGTGCAGCAGCGAGATGACAGTGTGTCCTCTTCGGGGCTGGCCAAGGGTCTGAAGAACAAACCACCGGCACTGCCCGAGTCCCAAGGCCGGCAGAAGCTTCAGATGATGACGCAAAGTATGTCAACCCACTTTGATGAAAATAATCAAATACATACTAACTTAATACTCAAACACTACTAACGCTACACTATTATAGCAAGAAGCTATTAGTCAAAGTACAATTACTCAAATTATAATACCAAACTACCCTCACAGGTTGTCCCACCCCGCCAAACCAGCGGAAGAGGTTCTTCCTGAACCCGAAAGTGCTCAGGAGCTCGTTCGTGCCCCAGAGGTCGTCCCGCCGAGCATCCTCCCCCGAACCAGCCACCAACGACAACCCATCAGCCCTGTCAGGTAAGCTTCAATTCCACGCAACAAAATTCAGCGTCTAACGACAGAGGATCAGGGACTAATTAATGATGGACGTAGCTTGGATGGCCTCGTCCTGGGAGGGCAGGTCAAGATGGCCGGGTGTAGTGCTGGGGAAAATCAAATCGTTGTGGAGCAACAGCCAGGGGACCGCGAACGATGGGTTGAACCAGCTCATCCAGAGGAGCAAAGTCACAGGCAGGACACTTATAGAATCGAGTGTGCATTGTCGTGTGCTTGAGAACACTTCGAAGGACTCACTAGGATTTTCCTGTTTCTGCACCTTTCGTAGAGCACTTTAGAAGCATGTTTTCATTACTTGTTTGGTGTGAGCACGTTTTCATTTCAGCGGACCGGAGTCGAGTAGAGGATTTTGTGTTGCATCCTTTGTGAAATGTCCACGTAATGTGGACTGGATTGCTTAATGTGGAGAACTTAACTAGATTTTGTGATGTTCAGATGACGAAGGCGGCTGCGTGAAGCCTCTGTCCTCGAAGACCAGGAAGTCCTCGCAGTCGGACCTCTACATGAGGCTGGGACTCCTTCTGGGCTCCAACACGAGGGCGAACAGCAGCGTGGACACCACGGACCTGCCAGGTGCCTCGAATCGTGCGGGTCCGGTCCAATCGAGGGTGCCCATCCAAGGTCACGACAGCTCGGCGGCATCCTTTAGCAGTTTGACCAGCTTCGAGACGCAGACCTTGGCCTCGACGAATACGAGTCCTGTGTCCACGTTGACGGGGACGTCTAGCGAGGCCGAAGCGGCTGCGGCGCTGAGGTGCCCCATCAAGCCCAAGGCGAAAGTCAAGGGCAAAAGCAAGTCGAGGGACTGCGACAGCGCTGGGAGCCTAGCTTCGATATCCACGTCGGTGTCCGCGTCCACGTCTATGTCGATGTCGATGTCCGTCTCCGTTTCGGGACTGTCGAATGGCAGCTCGAGCCCGTTAACTCCTAGAAGACATTCCGTGAACGCCTCGCAACCTGGCCAGAGCGACGAGCTCGGCCAGTTTAAGAACAGACGGTCCTGCGCTAGGAGGTCGGCCAGGGCTGGCAACTTGAAGGGGACTGTTGACGCCAAGTGTAAGATTTATTATTTACAGCTACCAATTCATTGCCACTTTCAAATTTTGCATCCACAAGTTCATCAAGTTTGCAAGGTTCCCAAACATCCTCAAATCCCAAGCCTCCATCAATCCTCACAGTTGTTCAATCATACCTAAATAACGTCTAACTCAAATTACTTCAATTGCAGTACGTTTCGTGCAACACCACGCGACCCAGTTAACCCTGAAGCCCCTGTTCTTCGAAGTACCTCTCCTCGAAACCGACCCCCTCTTCACCGGCCGCCAATGGCTGCTGCAAGAGCTGGAGTCGGTGGTGAACGGTTCCAGTCCCGGAGTACTAGTCTCTGGATCACCTGGAACCGGAAAGACTGCGCTGGTTCTGCAGCTGGTGGAACACAGCTGTTTCGGAAGAAGGCGGGAGCAGCCTCTGTCGTTGGAGATCAGCGAGGAGACTGAAGAGAAAGAGAAGCCGACCTGCACCTCGGCGTTGCAGGCCAGCATACGCTACACGAACGAGAAGGTGAGGTCCGATTGTAGGGATACCTTTGATTCGATGCTGATTGAATGACGATTTACAGGTTCGAGAATTGGCGTCACATGTGGTGGCGTATCACTTCTGCCAGGCGGACAATAATAGTACTTGTCTGGTGCCGGACCTGATACATTCGTTAGCGGCGCAGCTTTGTCAGGCGCCTCAGCTGATCTCTTATAGGGAGTACTTGCTCTCTGAACCTCACATTCAAGGCTCTCTGTCGCAGAGAGAGTGCACCGTTGACCCGGACCTCGCGCTTTCCAGAGGCATCATCGAACCTCTGTGCACCCTCAAGAAGATGAGCAGACTGCCCGATACTAACATGGTACGATAGAAATATGGATTCAATTGTTTAATTACCCATTCAGCTAGGTTGAATGTAATCTAAATGAAACTTCAGGTAATATTAATCGACGCCGTATGCGAAGCCGAGTACCACAGACCAGACAGAGGCGACACCATAGCGTCATTTCTGACGAGGCACGCACCCAACTTCCCCAGCTGGTTGAAGATCGTCTGCACAGTGAGGACGCAGCTCCTAGAGTGCGCCAAGCAGCTACCGTACACCAGAGTCTCGTTAGACAAGGCCTCGAACGACAGCACCGGAAGCAACGTCACCAGAGACCTGTCCGACTACATAGGCTACAGGCTAGCTCAAAGTCCAGCCATCCAGACGAACGTGACAGCGTCGGTGAACGGGAAGAACGAGTCTTCGTGTAGCGCGAATCAAACGAGATTCGCCTCGCATCTGCTCGCACTAGCCAGAGGCAGCTTTCTCTTCGCGAAGCTGACGCTCGATCTTATCGAGAGTGGACACTTGGTGGCTAAATCAGCCAGCTACAAGGTGAGCCCCAGATCGTATCGCTTTCACGAGGAAGGAAAGAATCCAGAGTTACCCTGAAGAATGTTGTGCTCCAGGTCCTGCCGGTTTCCCTGGCACAGATCTTTCAACTGCACTTCAACCTGAGGTTCCCTACCACGACCTCATTTGACAGGGTTCAACCTCTGCTGGGTGTCTGCCTGGCGGCCCTCTATCCGCTCACTCTGCCGGAGATCTTCTACTCCGTCAACTCCTTGAACACGGACCACTTCGTTTCGTGGGAGGATTTTCTACAGAGATTCAAAGTAAGTTGTCTCAGGAATTTTGTAGTGATTGCTCTAACTCGGTTTGTTGTTTCGCTATCACTGGAGGATGAACTACGTAAGTGTCATCATTCGAATCTCGATAGTTCCAAGGCTAGCATGTGTAAAAGTGAACGACTAGCAGGGAAATTTTACTGTAACACCTTTCAGTCCGCCTATTTGATGTACAACAAAGTGATATTGTATCAGATGCTCTCTGGATTCCTCGTGAAACGACTGGACAACACGTACATGTTCTTCCACCCGTCGTTCAGGGAGTGGTTGATGAGGAGGGATGAGGGAGAGTCGACCAAGTTCCTCTGCGATCTGAGATTAGGTCACGCGGCCATCGCGTTCAGGCTGTCCCGCCTTCAGGCACCGTTAGACGGCGACAAGGCGCTGGAACTGGGTCACCACATCCTGAAGGCGCACGTCTACAGAGGCGTAGCTCCATGTTGGCCTTCTAGGGACCTGCAGGTAACTACCTGTTCCATTTGCATACTCAGACCCTACGTGATTACTAAATGTCACATCACGAACAGGCGATCTGGTTAGCCTCGTCGACGGAATGCGTCTCGTCCGCGCTGTGCACGCTCCGGAACATCTACAGCCCGAATGTGAAGGTGTCGAGGTTGCTTTTGCTGGCAGGAGCATCTCCGAATCACATCACCGAGTACCTGGGCAACGCCCCGGCCCTTTGTATGTACGCCCACGAGGGTTCCGTGGAGATGGTGTCGTTGCTGTTAGAGTTTGGTGCCGATGTGGAGCTGACAAACAGCCAAGGCTGCACGGCCCTCTCGTTGGCGGCCTCGCGTGGTCACTGTGACGTCGTCAGAAGGTAAGATTATCGGAATGTTAATAATTAGACTAGCAATATCCAGAATATCAAAACGAATGATCCTCAGGTTGGCGGCAGCTGGAGCATCCTTGGGTCACACAGACATGGCTGGGCAGTGTCCCCTGGTCCACGCAGCGAGGCACGGTAGACTGTCAGTGGTTGGTTACCTACTAGCCTGCGATTGGGTAGTTCCACCCAGCGAAGCCGAAGCAGAAGGATCTCAAGAGATAGGCAGAGAGGAGGCTGCCCAGCAGGCTGTCGTCGCTGCCGCAGCCCAGGGACACGAGTCCGTAGTAGAGTACCTGTTAGACATGGCCGAAGTGATCGTGGACCGTCCCGACACCCTGATAGGCGAGACTGCCCTAACCATCGCCGCCGCAAACGGTTCGACAGCCACGGTCTCAGCTTTATTAGCTCGAGGAGCTAGTCCAACCGCAGTGAACGCCAAAGGCCTGTCCGCCTTAATGCTGGCTGCCAGGGAAGGTCACTGGGGTACTGCCGAAAGACTTCTTCAAGGTACGTACTGATCAATGGATTAATTCACTAATCAATGGATTAAGTGAATCTATTAATGTTTATAAGCATTCATAATATTCTTTACTCAGGTACCCTGTCCACAAGTACCGACAGTCTTCTGGACGATGCAGTGTCCCTGCTGGACCAACGTGACCCTGCAGGTCGCACCTCGCTGATGTTAGCCGCCTCTGAAGGTCACACAAACCTCATTGAACTCTTCCTCGACAAGGGGTCGCCATTGGAGAGCAGGGACAAAGAAGGATTGACCGCTTTGTGCTGGGCCTGTGTTCGGGGCAGGCTGGCTGCTGTGCAGAACCTCATCGATCATGGGGCCGATGTTAACACCAACGACAATACTGGCAGGACTCCGTTGGATTTAGCTGCGTTCCAGGTAGGAGGTGTACTGACTAGGAGGGGGTCTATGAGGGACTATGGGTATTCTGTGCGTTGCTGGAAAGATGATGGCCGTATGGTACAAGGGAGGAGTTAGGTCACATAGTAACCTACATGTGTGAAATATCCATATGACTTCCTCACCATGTAACTACCTATCAGCTCATTAGTCTCTACGTTATCATACGTAACATACGAATGCATAAATAAATCTAATCTTCCTAGCAACACATACAAGGTATATTCCACATGATCAAATCTCTAAACATATCAATTATATAACGAATGTTCTCCAGGGCAATCCAAAGCTCGTCCAGCTGTTGTTGGAGAAAGGAGCAGCGGTGGAGCACGTGGACCTCCACGGAATGCGTCCTCTGGACCGAGCGATCGGCTGCCGGAACATCCTAGTAGTTCAATGTTTCCTGCGTCGTGGCGCAAAGTTAGGTCCAGCCACATGGGCAATGGCGGCCGGCAAGCCCGACGTTCTTCTGATCCTACTGAACAAGCTTCTAGAGGACGGTAACGTGCTGTACCGGAAAAATAGACTGAAGGAGGCGTCGCATAGATACGCTTACGCTCTTAGGAAGTTCCCGACGTCCCCCGAAGAGGACTGCCAGGGTCAGGAGCAGGGTCACATGATGTTGCAGCTGCAGACGTTCGCGCAACTTCGGCTGAATTTCTTGCTCAATCTCAGTCGATGCAAGCGCAAGATGAACGTGAGTTTCTGAACATTAATGTATACACATATGGACATATTGAAATGTTATTTAATATTGAAATGTTGTGATATTGAAATGTATTTATTTGAACAGGAATGTGCGGAAGCAATCGAGCTCGCTGACGAGGCTCTCAAAGTTCGCTCCGTGTCCTACGAAGCGTTCTACGCGAGGGCAAAGGCGCGCGTCGACTCAGGATTGCTGGAGGACGCATTGTCCGACGTGCAGGAAGCGTTGCAAATGGCGCCGTCGCAGAACCGACAGGACCGCCGCGTTCTCCTCGCTTTGAGGGAGGAGATAATCTCCCGATTGGACGGAGCGGGCACCAGCAAGGGCTCCGAACCCTGCAGATCCCGACTCCGAGCGTCCGTCGACACCCTCACGGAGCTGTAACGTCCTTCACGGCGGGAAATTCAAATTAGTCCCCGTTTTACGTGGGAGTCCTTCGAACTTGTCGAACGATTTCTCGAGAAATCTTATTTAACGATTCGTACGTTGTATGTACCCGAAGAAATATTCCTCCCGCAAGGGCTTAATACTGTTTTCTCTGTGCAATTACACGGTTTTTTTGTACGTTTCGATTCCGAATCGAATACAGAGTATATATATATTATAAATATTTGTATTATATTACGCGTATGAAAATTGGTTTCTAGTGTCATTGTAATTTAATGAAAGTTATTTAATTGTTGCTCTCCTTGTATCTCAGTATTTCTCGTTTAAAAGAAGAGAAGTTCGGTGCGAAAGCCGATGTATTTAATTATAATGCACTCGCTTGCCAAGCATATTTAGTACACCTGTAATCTCGGACCTATTTCCAATCCGCATGGGCTACGTCTCTGCCTTGGTGCACAGAGGTTCAAAAATAAACGAACTTTTTACCAACACTGTTTCGTTTCTAACCCTCCGAAAGAAATTACAACGATTCGTTAAACTCGTCTTTATTGTTCGAAATATCGGGCCATCCGGAACATCTGTCCCTTAGTGTACATCGATTAGAGAGAACTCGTAAAGTGCGTTTATTAATGCGTTGAAGACATTATTGCGAAAGCTTTGTTAAACTTGTTCTAATAAACGTTAAATGACGCACCTGCTGCGTCCGACATAAGGAAACAAAATAGAATACTTTTTTCTAACAAAATAAAATCTCTCGCAAACGTGTCCTCGAAAAGTGAATAAGTTTCTGAAATATCCTCGAGAGTTAGTACCGAGTCATTTTGGTCGTAAGCTCGCCGCCGCAGGCGGCCATTTTAAGTACACTTTAATCTATTACGTATATCGTAAGAATAAATATCTCGCACACGATCTCTTGTACATGTTAATTGCTTTCAATCTTTAAAGCGTATGGAAGAGTCAGCTCCGCGTGTAACTTCGTCGAAATGCGAATTATAATTTATCGTACTCGTGCGAACGTTCGCAACGATCTAAATGCAGCGTATTTGCAAGAAGAGCGTCCCCGAAGAAGAAAGTCGCCGATCGGTGTTTTACGCGCGTGATCGCCTCGTGGAGATGAAGGATTCGTTCTATGGTGATTGTCAGCTGGGTGTTCATTTTTAATGAGCTGGAAGAACGAACACGAAGACGAGGCGAGAACGCGATACGGTTCGTGTGAAGTACGTGGACGGGACAACAGAGTGTCGAAGACATCACAGAAGCACGCGATTCGAGGCTAGTGAGCCTTGTTGTAGGTGTCTTTGTTTTGGTAACCCTGCACGTAACCGGATTGATCGGGCAGATCCTTTCGACCAGCGATTCCTTTGCCTTTCCCGGTCTCGTCGAAACGTTGCTTGTGGGAGCCTGTGTACCTGCTCACGTCTGTTAGTCTGTCCACTGTGGACGCGGCTTTGCCTGCCTGAAAATTGAATTTTTATTTTAGGAATTTTGCTATTTTCATTATTTTCATTATTTTGATCATTTTCATAGTTTTGATAATTTTGATAATTTTGATAATTTTGATAATTTTGATAATTTTGATAATTTTGATAATTTTGATAATTTTGATAATTTTGATAATTTTTATAACTTTGATAATTTTTATAACTTTGATAATTTTTATAATTTTTATAATTTTTATAATTTTTATCATTTTTATCATTTTTATCATTTTGATAATTCTGATAATTCTGATAATTCTGATAATTCTGATAATTCTGATAATTTTTATCATTTTGATAACTTTGATAACTTTGATAACTTTGATAATTTTGATAATTTTGTTAATTTTGATCATTCTGATAATTTTGATAATTTTGATAATTTTGATAACTTTGATAATTTTTATAACTTTGATAATTTTGATAATTTTGATAATTTTTATAATTTTTATAATTTTTATAATTTTTATAATTTTTATCATTTTTATCATTTTTATCATTTTGATAATTCTGATAATTCTGATAATTCTGATAATTCTGATAATTCTGATAATTTTTATCATTTTGATAACTTTGATAACTTTGATAACTTTGATAATTTTGATAATTTTGTTAATTTTGATAATTCTGATAATTTTGATAATTTTGATAATTTTGATAATTTTAATAGTGTTGATAATTTTGATAATTTTAATAATTTTGATAATTTTGATAATTTTGATAATTTTGATAATTTTGATAATTTTGATAATTTTGATAATTTTGATAATTTTGATAATTTTGATAATTTTGATAATTTTGATAATTTTGATAATTTTGATAATTTTGATAATTTTGATAATTTTGATAATTTTGATAATTTTGATAATTTTGATAATTTTGATAATTTTGATAATTTTGATAATTTTGATAATTTTGATAATTTTGATAATTTTGATAATTTTGATAATTTTGATAATTTTGATAATTTTGATAATTTTGATAATTTTGATAATTTTGATAATTTTGATAATTTTTATAATTTTTATCATTTTTATCATTTTTATCATTTTTATAATTTTTATCATTTTGATAATTCTGATAATTCTGATAATTTTGATAATTTTGAAAATTTTGATAATTTTGATAATTTTGATAATTTTAATAGTTTTGATAATTTTGATAATTTTAATAATTTCGATAACTTTGATGATTTTTTTAATTTTGATAATTTTGATAATTTTGATAATTCTGATAATTCTGATAATTCTGATAATTTTGATAATTTTGCTATTTTCATCATTTCCATCATCTTGTAAATAACACAACTCAATAAGTCTCATTTCACAATAAAAAAATAATAAAAAATTAGTACTGTCAGAAAACTTCTGCACACTAAGGTAGTCACATAAGGAAGCAGCCATAATACAAAAATATCAATAACTGAAATAAATATGAATTTGACAGAGTATTTTGCTAGCAGATAATTTTTGGAAGATGAAAATATGTGACTGCATGGTTACATGATGGGTCCTGAGTTTCATTTTCATCACAAAGATGCAATTTGATGAAATTCAAAGACCGTAAGCTCACAATGCAAGCTCACATAATATCGCAATGTTGCAAAAGATTGAATAGTAATTACTAGGTTGTTGCATATTAAGTGACTCATTTCGTAACATGGAAATCGTGGCATGATTCGATGACATTTATTGCAGTTCGATGATACTGCATTGCAAAATAGCATTCATATATAAATCTGTACATTAAAATTTAATGAAAACGATCACCTAACCATCATACAAAATTACATTTATATAAAATGACTCGTTGTTAAATAAATAACCTTAGTCCTTGATGGTCCTTGAAGTTTAATAATTTTGATCATTGTGAGTTGATTAAAAATTTAACATAAAAATCAAGAACTATTTATTAAAACTTGAAAATATTTAGAAATAAAAAAATTGTTAAATTTGCATATGTGTCTTCATTCAAAGTAAGTCTACGTCCAGTGTATGTAAAAGAAGAATATGACATATGTCCCGTGTAAAGAGTATTGACGAAACGCTTATGTACATAGTCGTTCCATGAAACTTTTAAATTGATATGTCATACGTGTTACTTCACGTTACCTACATGTCATCGAATCGTGTCAGACTTTTCACAAAATTGATTTAATATAGGACAGTCATCATTTGTAATATTATTGTTGAAGATTATCTAGAAGTATCTTGACGTTTGGTAGATAACCAAATACTATTCTATTATTAAATAACTCTATTACAAGATAATACTATTTTGAAATATTTGTCACCTCTATTATTTTTAAGACGTTTGGTAGATAACCAAATACTATTCTATTACTAAATAACTCTATTACAAGATAATACTATTTTGAAATATTTGTCACCTCTAATATTTCTAAGATAAATACTATTTATCTTAACTTCCTCAACGTTGACAATTCCGATTGCATCGAAGGTCACTACAACGTTGAAACAAGATAGCCTGCATATTTGAGAACCGCAAACAGTATTAACCACAATACGTCTGATAACTATCATAAATACACCTTCTACCATCTAAACAATTTCCTACTCGCTAAATAAATTCCCACGAGATAAAACTTCATCTTATCTTCTCAGTTTCTAGTTGTTCAATTAACGTAATTAACGTGGGCGCCCTGAATCGTCAATTGCAGATTTGTCACCATAAATAATGTCCGACATCGTAAATCGTCGTTGATATCGATGACAAGGTCGCGAAATTAAACGGGCTATGTCCGCTGTAGAAAATCGTGGGTGAAACTTATAGACATCGATTAACATGGCCATGTCCTGTATTCTTCTACCATTTACGAATAAACAATGGAGCTATAAACGGCTTAGAAAGTTGTCAAGTCTCAGAGGAATGACAGCGAAAACCACTATATGACGACGGTGCATTGGCGGGAAAATTCAAATCATTATTCATAACAAAATAAAATATTCGATTTAATCTGAAAGTCATTTTTATTTCAGTTTCAATGCATCTAAATGCATTAATTTCGGTTTCAATGCATCTAAATGCATTAATTTTAGTTTTAATGCATCTAAATGCATTAATATCAGTTTTAATGCATCTAAATGCATGAATTTTAGTTTCAACGCATCTAAATGCATTAATTTTAGTTTCAATGCATCTAAATGCATTAATATCAGTTTTAATGCATCTAAATGTATTAATTTTAGTTTCAATGCATCTAAATGCATTAATTTCAGTTTCAATGCATCTAAATTTTAATTTCAAGGTTTATAGGAAGTTACTTACAGCACCAGCGCCGCTAGTGACTCCCGGAGGACCACAGTTCGCCATTTTCTTCTTCATCTCCGTCAGATCGACCTTCTTGCTCTTGGCTAACTCTTCCAAGAATGATTTGTACTGTTCGATGCCCAGCTTCATAGATCTGTCAAATAAATTCAATGTATAATGTAAAATATTTTTAGGAATTTATGGTTTAACCCCTTAACCTATAAGTTTTGATAAATTGCGACAGTCAAAGTTATGTCAATGTCAATGTCATGGTATATTCATGTTATAATGTTTTGTTATAATGTTGCATGTAATAATGTTATATTACTGTCGATGTTAAGAATGTTATGTTAACATCAATGTTATATTATTTTAATGTTATGATGCTATGTCATAATGTTACTTATAATAATGCTATGTTAGTAACAATGTTATGATGCTATATTATTATGTTGCATATAATAATACTATGTTACCATCAATGTTATGTTATTTTAATATTATAATGTTATGTAATAATGTTAGGTTAGGTTAATGTTATAATGTTATGTTATAATGTTAGGTTAGGTTAATGTTATAATGTTATGCTATAATGTTAGGTCAGGTTAATGTTATGATGTTATGTTATAATGTTGCATGTAAAGTCAGGTTAATGTTAAATTATTTATGTTATAATGTTGCATGTAAAGTTAGGTTAATGTTAAATTATTTATGTTATGTCATTTTAGACATAGCTCTTCAATTACCCAAATTAAAATTGTCACCAAAACCTCAGTCTTTATGCAAACTTAACTGCGTCACATCTAAACTGCAACGTGCGTCATTTGAACAGTAAGGTGCGTCACGAGTCTCATAAGTCAAAGGTTTAATATCTTCTCCAAATAAAATTCAACATACTTGTGTTTCTTAAAATAAATCCCTGTATCAGTAGTAGTGATCTTCTTCCCATCGATCACCTTAGCCTGCTTCATCCACTTATCGCTCTGACTAAGCGTGATCAGCTTCCCGTCGCTTTTCGGGTCACCAAATTTCGAGAACGCCTTGAAATTTGCCAAAAAGCTGCCCGGCTGGCTGGCGCCGGGGCTGCTGGGCGTCGAGCTTCCGGTCTCATCCTCGATCTTCAAGTTCGACGCTTTCGTCGTCACCGCTTCTTCGCTGTTTTCGTTGCTGGCTCCGTTTTTCTCCTCCTTGACCTCGTTTTTCTCGGACTCCACGTTCTCTAACTTCGTATCGTTTTTCTCTTCCGTGTCTGTCTTCTCAGCTTGCATCCTTGCACCTGCAATTTTCATTCACAGTTAGAAGATTCTTGAAACAGAATTTTTAACCAAAAGAAGTTTGGAGCAGAAGAATTTTGAACCGAACAAGTTTTGAAGCGGAAGAATTTTGATGCAGACAAACGTTTATGTAATTTTACACACATGTGTGGTTGTGTAATTTTGAAGATTCATATGTGAGGACAGTGGTGGTCCACCTATGACGAAAACTTTTTATTGAACGAAACAATTTTGGACCAAAAAAATTTTCAACCAAAAAAATTCTAATCCAGACCAAACTCTACATAATTTCACACACATGTTTAATTATATAATTTCGCAAATATTACAACAGTGGTGGATCTATAACAATTTCTAAAATTTCCAAACTAGCTATTAAATCTATCTAATTAATTAAACTAATAATGAAACCTTGCAATAATTTTCCACAGTTAACAATCTATGACGTACAAAAGGGTTATAGTGTATTAGGGTCAGGTTTAAGTAAAAGAGAAAAGAAAATGCTCGCGTGTATGCCTGCGTGATGTTTCACACCTGGATGACGTATTGGGGTCAAGTAACGTGAGCTATCGATTTAACATAATTCCCGTAGGCGCTCCCATAAAATTGACACTTACGTTTTAATCAGAGATTAATGAGATACCGAAGAGTGCATTATAGTTACGTAAACGACTTGATTTAAGGTAAACGTAATCTGAACTGTTCTTTTTCTTCGCAAACCTCAGGTATAATATTTCACGACGATCTTCAGGAAATCTCGTTAACGACGTTCACCAACGAAGGTAATTATTATCGAGATGAATGTTTAAAAAAGTGACAGAGTTAGTTACATTTGTATTGTACGGAGTAGCTTCATTTGTATTGTACGGAAGGTTTGAAGGTCGATTGCTTTGTGCTTACTTGGGCGATTGTCAATGAAACGATGTACAATGGAGCTTCCATTTAACTTTCTGTTCGATATTGGACGGTACTCTATTTTCATTTATTCAGCTCGATTTTTAGAAGACTAATATTTGGAGGAATAACGAAAATTGTCGCTTTGTGGGATGTTCTTTTTTAGTTGATTAAAATGATATTTAAAATGGCGGAGTAATATATGTTATACGAACAATTTGATGAGTTGTAACTTCCACGCGTAATAACTCGACGCGTGGTAATTCGACGCGTTGCAACCTCCACGCGTAATAATTTGACGCGTTGCAATTTCTGCGCGTAGTAATTCGACGCGTTGCAACCTTAACGCATAATAACTCGACGCATGGTAATTCGATGCGTTGCAACCTTAGCGCGTAATAACTCGACGCGTGGTAATTCCACGCGTTGCAACCTTAACGCGTAATAACTCGACGCGTTGAAATATCTACGCGTAGTAATTCGACGAGTTGCAACCTTAACGCGTAATAACTCGACGCGTGGAAATTCCACGCGTTGCAACCTTAACGCGTAATAACTCGACGCGTTGCAATTTCTACGCGTAGTAATTCGGCGCGTTGCAATCTTAGCGCGTAATAACTCGACGCGTGATAATTCCACGCGTTGCAACCTTAACACGTAATAACTCGACGCGTTGCAATTTCTACGCGTAGTAATTCGACGCATTGCAACCTTAATGCGTAATAACTCGATGCGTGGTAACAATAAACCTATTTCATTATAATATTTACAATTTTTGTCCTTGAAAGTTGACGACATTCAATTCAGGTCAGTGATTAGAAATTGTAATTTGCGGAAGTAAGAAAGGAGATTAGGTTCATCAGTTCAGCGTCCTCGTTTTTTGGATCGATTTCGTTCCACTTCTTGATGGAAAAATTTCTGAAATGATAGTGCACGTTACGTGTGTAATTTCATTTGATAAATTGCGAATAATCGCTCGAGATATTAAAGTGGGAGAGTAATCTTGTGACGAGGGGGATCGGAAAATTGAGGAAGTAATAAAGTTGGGATTATAGGTAGTGCTGGTGATTTAATGCGGGGTGATATAAGGCGTTGAAATGAAAATGCTTTGAGATTGTAATGCATTAAAATTATTGTGTGTCTAGTTAGTTCGATGGGATTAGTATGCGTTGAGATGTTGAGTTACTGCGTCGACTTATTACGCGGGAGGTAATGCGAGGAATTACTACGCGTTGAAATTGCAATGTGTTGAATTAGTACGCGTGGAAATTGCAACGCGACGAATTACTACGCGTGGAAATTGCAACGCGACGAATTACTACGCGTGGAAATTACAACGCGTCGAGTTATTACGCGTTAAGGTTGCAACGCGTCGAATTACAACGCGTGGAAATTGCAACGCGTCGAATTCCTACGCGTGGAAATTGCAACGCGTCGAATTCCTACGCGTGGAAATTGCAACGCGTCGAATTCCTACGCGTGGAAATTGCAACGCGTCGAATTCCTACGCGTGGAAATTGCAACGCGTCGAATTCCTACGCGTGGAAATTGCAACGCGTCGAATTCCTACGCGTGGAAATTGCAACGCGTCGAATTCCTACGCGTGGAAATTGCAACGCGTCGAATTACTACGCGTCGAGTTATTACGCGTTAAAGTTGCAATGCGTCGAATTACAACGCGTGGAAATTGCAACGCGTCGAATT